AATCTCCTGGAAAGCCTAAAATACCATCTGGCTCTCTACAGAAAAAGTTTGTCTACCCTGTGGTACAGAAGGAAGAATGAGCTTGGCTGAGTCCCTTTACCTCTTCAGACCTCACCCACAGAATAATAATGATAGCTCACAAAGTTATCATAAGAACCGAGCTTGTAATCAGTCTGTTTTCAGGAGTTGTTGTCCTTTGATGACGTGGCCATGTACTTCACCAGAGAAGAATGGAAGAGACTTGACTGGGCCCAGAAAGACCTCTACAGAGATGTGATGCTGGAGAACTACAGAAACATGATCTTGTTGGGTAATGACTCAGCTTGAAGATTTGGCTTTGAGTGTCTATACAAGTCCTCAGTCCCTTATTTGCAATTCCAACATCAGAGAAACTCCAAAAACTAGTTTTTTCATAATTTATTTGGCTGCAAGGCCCAACCTAAAGTCATCAGGTGGTAAAACCTGATCTTTTCCTATGGAAAGTTATGTATCATCCTGATCTTTCTCACCTGGTCTTTGTATCTGTCTGTTTAGCATCAGAAATACCAGTGTGTTTAAGGGTACAGCTCCTACCCCTGTTGGAGGTGGTATGTAATAGAAACTATACACACTAAGTGTACATTTTCCAAAATCTGGGAAAATTCTGAATCTTGAAACACATCTGGCCTCAAGATTTTCAAATAAGGAATTGTGGACAATGAATAGTTTCCTTTTATTTTAGAGGTCAGAGATGTTTAATCCACCCCCCACCCCAATCTGCATCCTCCACATCTATAAGACCTGTAGCAGCTGAAAAGATTATGACTGATTTGGATTCCAAAGGTTAGCTTTTTTTTTTTCTTTTGAAAAGTCTTTTTCTGTCTTCTCTCTGGAAATGGGTTCATTCCTTGTTGGCAGCCTCACCAGGTGTCCAGGAAATGATTCTTAACTGACTACATTTCTGAACCTTCTCTGTTTCTCTACTCTGGGGAGCCTGCCTTTGTCTTATTCCAATGCAGTCCCCTCCTGTGGGCATTTCCTTAACAAATAGCTTGCTTTTTGGGGCCACAGCTTTGACCCCCACACTGACATTCTTGCCACAGTCTTTTTTTTTTTTTAATTTTTTATTTGTTTATTCATAGAGACACAGAGAGAGTGAGAGAGAGGCAGAGACACAGGCAGAGGGAGAAGCAGGCTCGATGCAGGGAGCCCGATATGGCACTCGATCCAGGGTCTCCAGGATCACGCCCTAGGCTGCGCTAAACTGCTGTGCCACCGGGGCTGCCCTCTTGCCACAGTCTTGACTACCACTTGTGGGATTGTCCACCCACCTCTGGAGTTTTTTATGTCTATTTTCCTTGTAAAAGATGACAAGAGCAGACTTGAATACATAGAAGGTACATGGGACAGGGAGGGGAGAATATTTGAGGATAATGCTGTTTATATTTTGGAAGAATTATTTCCAGTTTTTCTCCCCCATGCTTTAAAAAAAATGTAGCTGAACATATTCATTGTATAATTCTATAATTCGTTTAAATCTTAACATTTACAGTATCAGCATTTTCCCTATGCTAGTAAAAGCCTCCATAAATATAGGAAATGAGCATAATGTAATTCTGTTGTATGATCTATGATGTTTAATCATTTTTCCATTTGGGGATATTTAGTTTGGCTTTTTTGTTGTTGTTGGCTTGCTTCTGCATTCATCATTTTCTATATTATAATGTTAGAATGGATGTTTCTTTTTTTTTAATTTTTTAAATTTATTTATGATAGTCACACACACACAGAGAGAGAGAGAGAGAGAGGCAGAGACATAGGCAGAGGGAAAAGCAGGCTCCATGTACTGGGAGCCTGACGTGGGATTCGATCCCAGGTCTCCAGGATCGTGCCCTGGACCAAAGGCAGGCGCCAAACTGCTGCGCCACCCAGGGATCCCCCTAGAATGGATGTTTCTGACCATAAATCCTTATATGAATTCCTGACTCTTCTCGAATATACAAAATTTTGGTGTTAAAGGGTACAGGCACTTTTAAGTCTCTTTGTATTACCGAATGACTTTTCAATAACAGAGTAGGAAATAAAAATCCTCTGTAGGCCCACTGCCCAGAAATTACCCCTGTTAACATTTTGGTTTACTTTTTCATATATATATATATATATATATATAGTTATATATAGTTATGTACATATATACACACGTATAGTTTTTAAAAACAAAATTTGGATCGTACTCACCTGAGTTTTGCATTCTGCTTTTTTTTTTTAATTTTTATTTATTTATGATAGTCACAGAGAGAGAGAGAGAGAGAGAGGCAGAGACATAGGCAGAGGGAGAAGCAGGCTCCATGCACCAGGAGCCCGATGTCGGATTCGATCCCGGGTCTCCAGGATCGTGCCCTGGGCCAAAGGCAGGCGCCAAACCGCTGCACCACCCAGGGATCCCTGCATTCTGCTTTAAAACATATAGGGAACATTTTCCTATTTTAATATTCTTGAATACATGGATTTCTAATATCTGCCTAATACTTTTGCCTTCACTACATTAACATGCTATGCTGTAGACATTGCTCCGTTGATGTTTACTTTAATTCCAGCAATGCATTGATACAACTCTGCTGAACATCCTGGATTAATCTTTGTCATAATTGTTCCATAGGCTGTATCTCTAAGAGTGAAATGACCACATCTAGAGGTGTGAATGTTGTTGAGGCTTTCAGTAAAGATTGTCAGATTTTCAGAAAGACTGTGCTGAATTCTCTTGTCACCAGCCCTTTTGATTATTGTCCTTATCTGTTTGCCACTGTAGACCCAAGGGAGTTAAGCTGAGCTCTAGGACATCTCTCCATAACTCACTAACCACATCCCGTTTACTTCTCCATGAGTAGGATTTCAGTTTCCCAAACCTGAGGTGATCTGCCTGCTGGAGCAATGGGAAGAACCATGGATCCTGGATCTTCCAAGAGCTGGGACTAGGAAGGCTACCAGTACTTGTCCAGGTGGGTGAGGAAAGGACCCAGTCGAGTGGAAATCCTGAAGAGGCAGGAAATAAAGCCCATTGTGTGCCCCAGACACTGAGCCAGGTGTTTGGCATATATCCTCCCATTTGTTCATCCCTGCTGCCTTCTGAAGGTAGTACGTGTGACCATTAGCTCCATTTTCCAGATGAAGAAACTAAAAGAATCAGGGGCATCTGGCTGGTTCAGTTGGTAAAGTATGTGAATCTTAATTTCAGCGTCATGGGTTTGAGCCCCATGTTGGATGTAGAGATTACTAAAAATAAATAAGTATACTTTGAAAAGATTCAGGTATCTGTCACCAGTACATTGGTAGTTGGGATTTGATTTCAAGTCTGCAAAGCTTATCCTCATTCTTTTACAGTAGAGTGCTTCTCTGAAGCAGCAGGTCTGACAGCTCTTTTTTTTTTTTTTAAGATTTATTTATTTATTCATGAGAAACAGAGAGAGAGAGAGAGAGAGAGAGAGAGGCAGAGACACAGGCAGAGGGAGAAGCAGGCTCCATGCAGGGAACCCGACGTGGGACTTGATCCCGGGTCTCCAGGATCAGGCCCTAGGCTGAAGGCGGTGCTAAACCGCTGAGCCACTGGGGCTGCCCAGGTCTGACAGCTCTTATGCCAAATTAGATATTCCTTATTCTACCCTCATTACTTATCCTTCCTGTTTTCTCTTGTTCCATTGCTTTCATTTTGGTTTTCATATTCCCATGAGGTTTCTTGATCTACTTTTTCCTACTTACTGTGTCCTGATTGCTGCTTCTACCTTTTTCCATATCCTTCTGCTCCATATTTTCTCACCCTCTACTCTATTGTCATTTTGGGCTGGTTAATTCTTTGTGGTGGGGAGCTGTCCTGTGTAAATGTAGGACATTTAGCCGTATCATTGTCCTCTACCCATTAGATTTGAGTAGCACCACCCCAGTTGTGACAACCAATGTCTGTCTCCAGACATTGTCAATATCCCTCATGAGACAAAATCACCCCTTGTTGAGAACTATTGCTGTGGTCCATTGGCTTTTGTATCTACTTTCCTCTGGTTCCTTTTTTATTCTATCTTACACTCCCCATTTTTAAAAAAATATTTTACTTATTTATTTATGAGAGACACAGGGAGACGGCAGAGACATAGGCAGAGAGAGAAGCAGGCTCCTCAAGGGGAGCCTGATGTGGAACTCGATCCCAGGACTCTGAGATCACGCCCTGAGCCAAAGGCAGACGCTCAACCACTGAGCCACCCAGGCATCCCATTACATTTTCCATTTTTAAGGAGTTGTTTCTCCCAGAATTATTGAAAACATGCTTGTCTAGAGAGTATAAGATGCTACCTCTCCTACATTTATGTGACCCTACTGAATACCCAGAGTAAGTTAGCTTTCCATTAGTGGTGATGAGGTTGTTCAGTTCTCACTTCTCTGGCACACACTTGTGCATTTTTCTGTTGGTTAGTTGATGTCCAGAACTCTTTCTGCTATTGAAGCCAGGAGTCCTATGAAAAATCAGAATGTAGTGGGATGATATAACTAACCAAGCACTTCTTAGCTTCATTCAAGTATCTTAGAGTACATATAGTTGGCTTCTTTTTTTCCCTTCTGCAGAGGACAGGTCATTTTTCTGTTTTCTTCTTATTTGATTAGGTTCTGAAGCTAGATGCAAGATGAAAAAGCCAACTCCAAAGCAGAAAATTTCAGAAGATGTAGAGTCCTGTAAGACATCAGTAAAGCAGAAAATGGCCAAGAGACTTGGAGAAAAGTTACATAAATGTAATGAGTTGGTGGACATTTACAGACTCACATTCCCTACTATTGGTGATGAATGTCACAAGGACTTCCTTCAAAACCTCCACCTTATTCAAATTCAGAATGCTCAAACAAGGAAGAAGCAGGGCAAATGTGAGGAAAATGGAAAACCTTTCAATCACAGATCATTCCTTTTGCAGCATAAGCAAATTCTTACAAATGCAAAATCTTATGAGTGCAGTGAATGTGATAGAGTCTTCAGGCGTCAGGCTAATTTTGTTCGACATCAAAGAGTTCACACATCAGAGGATCCCTTTGAATGTGACATATGTGGGCAAGCCTTCAAACAGAAGTCTACTCTTATTGTCCATAAACAGTGTCACCCTCAAAAAAAGCCATATAAGTGTCATGACTGTGGAAAATTTTTCCGCCAGATGGCATATCTTATTGAACATAAGAGGATCCATACCAAAGAAAAACCCTATAAATGTAGTGAGTGCAAAAAAACATTTAGTCAGAATTCAACCCTTATTCGACATCAGTTAATCCACAGTGGACAAAAACCCCATAAGTGTCTTGAATGTGGAAAAGCTTTTGGTCGGCATTCGACCCTTTTGAGCCATCAACAGATTCATACTAAACAGAACACTCACAAATGCAGTGAATGTGGACAGTCCTTTAGCCGAAGTGTAGATCTCATTCAGCATCAAAGAACCCATACCAAGGAGGAATTCTTTGAATGTAGAGAATGTGGAAAAACTTTTAGTTTTAAGGCAAATCTTCATCGTCATGAGGTCATTCATACCGGAGAAAGACCCTATAGATGTGACAAATGCGGAAAATCTTTCATCTGGCGCACAAGCTTTATTAAGCATCAGGGTACTCACAGACAACAGATACCCATGTGATACTAACTGGAAAAAGACCATTTTGGGGATCCATGGGTGGCTCGGTGGTTTAGTGCCTGCCTTCGGCCCAGGGTGTGACCCTGGAGTCCTGGGATCAAGTCCCATGTCAGGCTCCCTGCGTGGAGCCTGCTTCTCCCTCTGCCTGTGTCTCTGCTTCTCTCTCTCTCTCTCTCTCTCTCTCTCTCTGTCTCTCATGAAGAAATGAATAAAATCTTAAAAAAAAAAAAGACCATTTAAGGACCAGACCTTACCACTCTTGTAATTATGTGTAACTTCATTGTTTTATGAAAATTATTAAACAGGAATTGAAATGGTTTTGCTGTGGAGACCTTCTTTTTGTGGCTAACCTGGCTGTAGACAAGAATTAATAGAATGTAATAAGCAGTTGTCTGGCCTCCCTTGACCTCCTCATACTTTCATGACCCCAAGCTAAGGTGGAAGGGAGGCATAAAAACCTTGTGGTTCCCTAGGTTGGAGACAATTTGATGCATTATGAACGATGTGGGAGTGCTTTTCTTACCTCTCATAAAACTGGGGGAGAAATGTTTTTAAGTAAAAGAATGGTGTAAAAAAATGCTTTTCTTGGTTTTATATAGAAAAATTAGCGGATTCTACATTGACTTTTTAAAAAAATATTTATTCATTCATTCATTCATTCATTCATTCATTCATTCATTCATTCATTCATGAGAGACAGAGAAGAGAGAGAGAGGCAGAGGGAGAAGCAGGCTCCATGCAGGGAGCCCGACATGGGACTCGATCTCGGGTCTCTAGGATCAGGCCCTGGGCTGAAGGCAGCGCTAAACCGCTGAGCCACCCGGACTGCCCTACACTGACTTTTTAAAAATAAAATAAGGGCTACTCACCAGTAACTAGTGAGATATTAAGAATTACCAAAATGTGGGTGCTTGGCTGAGGAGTGTGAGTTCAAGCCCCACATTGGGAATGGAGCCCATTTTCTTAAAAATTACTAAAATTTATCTATAGATTAGTGTGCTACTAGATTCCGTCAGTTGTTAATAGCAGGTGCTGTTGGGTCCCCTGCCCTCTGCTTACCCCGTTGGGCTGCATCTGACTTGCACTGTGTGTTTCTTGGTCTGCAGGCTTTTTCTAAAACCACAAAAGGCCACTGCTCTGTAGGGTAACTAGCACATCTTGGGAGCAGGCCTCAACTAATGCCTGATGGGAATTTCACAAATATGACCCTCTCTCTCCCCTTGGGTGAAATATCTCTAAAGCATGTGCTTTACCCTTGTTTTCAGTTTTGCCATGGGATTATGCATTTGTTCATCTTGCAGCTGCTTTCTTAGTGGTTTTCTGTGCTGTGTCTCCTATATTTCCCTGCCAGTGTTTCAAGAGAGCTTGTGCTCAAGTGTCAACTATAGTCCTTGAGGAGCATTAACTCTTTTGTTTCCAGTTATTCCAAGCATATTCTTACATCCAGGTTACATAGGTTGAGCTGACCACATGACTTCCCTTCAGCTCACCAATAGAAGAAACCCACTCGAAATTCTAATATCCTAAACATCATCTTAGGTCTGCATCATATATTGCTATTAGACACTCTCCTATAAATTCCCTTCTAGATTCTTCTGGATTTTATTTTCTTGCTCCTACCAATTCCATGGTTTCTTACCCAACATATAAAAACAAAGATCTATTGAGGAAAAGAAGTGACATCTCAGAAAATTAAGAAATCTCGAGCCTTACAGTTGGAAAATAGTAAGTAATAGATTGTACATTGGGTTTATTTTTTTTTAATTTTTATTTATTTATGATAGTCACACAGAGAGAGAGAGAGAGAGGCAGAGACATAGGCAGAGGGAGAAGCAGGCTCCATGCACCGGGAGCCCGATGTGGGATTCGATCCCGGGTCTCCAGGATCGCGCCCTGGGCCAAAGGCAGGCGCCAAACCGCTGCGCCACGCAGGGATCCCTACATTGGGTTTAAAAAGCAGTAGTTTTGTACTGGTTGGTATGAATTGGCTAGAAGAACCTTAACAAGTTGAGACTTCTGAGTGAGGAGGAAACAACGTAGGAAGAAGGGGACCTATGAAAAGTTTCCCTCCACTCCCTAATAAAGCAATAAATAAATAGAAGTGCCTGGCTGGTTCAGTTAGTGAAGCATGTGACTTGATCTTGGGGTTGTAAGTTTGAACCCCATGTTGGGTTTAAAATCTTTAGAAAAAAAATACATAACATACATTTTAAAAATGGTAGTTTGGTTTTCTGATGGCAGCTCTCCTGTTGTAAGGATGAGAACTGATTTAGAAATCAGCAATCTGGTCTGGGGAGACCCAGTTACAGGCATACACTTAGTTATAGAGAACTAAAGGCATGCCCTAAAGGCTATTGGGCGGTGGCCAACAGCTAAGCTGTTGGCAAATGGGCGTTGGACAATTAAAAATAATCAAAGAGTAAAAAATAATTAATAATCAAAGTGGGGAGCCCAATCATGATAAGCCTTTTGCCCACCAGAATAATCCAGGGTGGGTTCTGGAGGTAACAGATGCTCTAGGCGAAACCACTTGGAGTGGCAATATGGATGTGTGAGCATCCACAATGAGTGGCCATGGAGGCTCCCAAGGCATGTTGTGTCATGTGATCCCACACTCCATTGTGACCCTTGCTGGGGCACCAGTGGTTGCCTAAGACTGTTCAGAATCTTGCCAGGTTAACACAATGGGAAATGGACTCACCTGCTCAGCCTGGCCCACCCCACTGTGTGTGTCTAGTAGATAGCTCTGCCCCATGTCCCTTAAAGGAACTTCAGATGCCTCATGACTCTCTGGTCCCTCACTCTCTGGTGGGATTAGTGAGAGGGCCCAGACATGTGCTGCTTTGGTTCCCACCCCGGATCTCAGGAACTTCCCTTATAACATTATGCCACCACCCTAAAGACCTCTGAGTCTCGAGCAGGGCACAGGACCTTCCAGAATAGAACTTGGAAATACTTAAAATGAAGATATGCTTAGACAATAGATTTAAATGACCGTATCACTCATTCTCTCTCCTAGCTCCAGTCAGGTCTTCTAACAAAAATCTAAATTTACCATTCTGTAGAACAGGACGCTGTGCTAGATGCTCTGGGAGAAAGTGAGGAGTGGAAAGATTGTTTCTCTCTGTAATGGACTGAATCATGTCTCCCAAATTCAGACGCTGAAGTCCTAACACCTGGTGTGACCGTATTTGGAAACAGAGCCTTTAAGGAGGTAACTGAGGTTAAATGAGGTTGTGTGGACACCAGTGCTAAGACTGGTGTCCTTTGAAGAAGAAGATTCTAGAGATCTCTCTATCCACTGCACAGGAAGGGAAATCCACAGACACCAACCCTGACGGCACTTTGATCTTGGACATCCAGCCTCCGGAACTGTGAGAAAATAAATGTTTTTTTTTTTTTTTTAATTTGTGAGAGATACGAGAGAGAGAGAGAATGAGATGAGAGATAGGCAGAGACACAGGCAGAGGGAGAAGCAGGTTTCCTGCATGGAGCCCGATGTGGGACTCGATCCCAGAACTCTGGGATCATACCCTGAGCTGAAGGCAGATGCTCAACCACTGAGCTACCCAGGCATCCCAATACATGTGTTATTTAAGCCACCTGATTGGTGGCCTTTTGTTTGGCATCAGAGCTAACATACTCACCCCTTATAGTCTAGGGATGAGACATAGCGTGCATTTACACATTAACTTAGTGGATATAGTAGTTTGCATGATAAATGATAAAGCCCACAGATCATGTTAGCTCAGTAAAGGGAATATTTTGTGGTAGGATAACTGAGAAGTGACATTTTAAAATTGTTTTACAAGAGTGGACTTTCCTGTTGTTAATTTGGTGTGTTAGGGCCTGGGGAAAGGGAGCTGAGTTTAAAAACAAAGGAAGCAACTTGACCAAAGGCATCTATGTGGAAAATTCAAGTAGTACGTGGGCAACAATGTGTAGAGATGGTGGGAGAGGAGGGAAAGAATGGAGGAAAAGCTAGAAGTGCAAAGAGGAAGCCCATTCTAAGTTTGCAGTGTTCTTCCAGTAAAAAGCACACAGATCAAAACCTGTACCATGTTATCACTACAACTCTATCACTAGTTCTGTGACCCCAGACAAGTAATCTTGATGAACTTAGGGAGAACACTAGGGTCATAAGCTCATGGCCCGCTTAAACACATCTCCTCTCAGCCCAGTGCTAGATACGAAATTTCATTGAAATCCACGGCATTCTCCACATGACACCCAGAAGCCTGAAGGCACCCAGACCAGCCCTCTCACCATCCCTCCTGCAGGTTTCAATGACAGTCCAAGGAGAAGGCATGTACTACTATCCCACCACATCCAGGATCAAGGAAGTGAGTTCTAGAAGGCAAATACTTTAGTTTTGGTTTTTGCACATTTAGGGAAAAAAAAATTAAGATGAGGTAAGGTGACAAAAGCTAGAATAGAACACTCAGAATGTAATTTGGTACTCGCTTTGGGGAAAAGAAACTGTAAAGTATATTAGCTCACACATCAATCAAGGAATTCTACTTCTGGGAATCTAGCCTTAGATTTTTTTTTTTTCTAAAGATTTTATTATTTGAGAGAGAGCACAAGCAGGGGGAGTGGCAGAGGGAGAGGGAGCAGACTCCCTGCTGAACAAGGAGCCCGACACAGGTGTGGGGCTTGATCCCAGACTCTGGGACCATGACCCAAGCTGAAGGCAGATGCTCAACTGACAGCCACCCAGGTGTCCCTAGCCTTAGAGTCTCAAGAACAATCCAAATCGCATTAGAATTACACTGGCATTCACTACAGCACTGCTTGCAACAATAAGGGGTAATGCCTGAAATGTACAATAAAAGAAGAATGGCTCGATCATTATGTCCACTTGATGTAAAATGATGCATCTGTTAAGCGTAAAGATTATAACAACCATGTAAAAATCCTTAAGACATAATATTAAAAAGATGTAAAATATAAACACTATGATTATCATTATATGAGAAGTATGCAGAGAAAAAAATCTGAAGGAACTATGACAACGCCAGTAACAGGTGATCAGGGTTGTAGGATTCTGGGTAATTTCTTTTCCTGTTGTTTTCCCAAATATCCAATAATGCCTATATTCCCTTAATTATTTTTTTTAAATATTTTATTTTAAAGAGAGACATGAGAGACACAGAGAGAGGCAGAGACACAGGCAGAGGGAGAAGCAGGTTCCATGCAGGGAGCCCAACATGGGACTCAATCCTGGGTCTCTAGGATCACGCCCTGGACCGAAGGCGGCACTAAACTGCTGAGCCACCCGGGCTGCCCATATTTCCTTAATTAAAAACAAAAACAAAACCCAAACAGGTTCATAAGAACTCCATACAATACAGGTTCGTGTGTAGAAGTGGAAAGATAAGACAGGTTCAGGCTTTGTGGCATGCCTAACTTCATCCAACAGGGGAAATAAAGCCAACCCCATAGCCTTCCCTCACTAGTCACACAGGTAGAAAGACAGCGCTGGGAAGCTAAAGAATGATCAAATTTGACCCCCTTTCAGAGCTGGTGTTTCTTGTCATGATGGGTGTGCACATGCCATTGTCCCTCTACCACTACTACCCCAGAGGTGCTACAGCTGAGCAAA